CAGGAAAACAATCAAACATATTCTCTTCTAGCAAAGGACTTCAGAATATCAAGCTTTGTTTGAATTCTGAAAGACACAATTTTATCCATTAGATTGAAAATGGAAATGTTTCTTTTTTGTAATAAAAAATTATCTTGCTATACCTAGTAAATATAACTCTCATTCTAATTTATAAAATTAATTTTACTGTAGTTTTTTTTTTTTTTTTTTTTTAAATACTGCTTATTTCTTACCTTGTGTTTGTGAGGCAAATTAATATCGTAATCGAAATTAAGAAGAATTCGCATTAAAAGGAGAATGGTTAACATGTAGAAGCGGATTGCATTTGTCAAATAACTGAAGTGACCCAAGATGGGAATTTGAAATGAATATGGACTAATTTATTACTTATAATTATTTCCAATTTTTTAAAAGAATGAAACCTAATTTTTTGTTGTTAGAAACTACTTATTTGTTTAAATTTTACACATACGTAGTTATGTGAATACATACGTTCCTTTTCTATTATTTTTATCTAGTCATCTTGAATTAGGCGTATATAGTACTCGCATTTGTTTTTGGACACTTGTGTTTTCAGTTTTATTTGCAAATCTCAGTTACTAAATATTAGTGAAATGACTTTGTTTTTTCTTTCATCTATACCAGGGGTGGCCAAGCTCCTTGGTAGTCTGAGCAATTTTTCAAAATTTGAAATTTTTCGCAAGCCGCAGTTAAATGCATATTTAAAAAGTAGGCAAAAAAGGTATTAGAAAAATTTTTTTACAGAAATTATATTTATTGAAAACATATAAATAAAAGTACAATATGTGTGTATTGAATTTAAATATTAAAAATTAAACATATTTATTTTACTTCTCTTGATAATTCTTTAAAATTTGGTGAATAATTGATGACAGCACTTCTCAGTAATTCTTTGAGATGCTGGTTAGTTAATACTGATCGGTGTTTGGATTTCACGAATTTTAAAGTGGAATAAAAGGATTAACATAAGTACGTTGTTCCAAATATTGAAATAATTCGACAAGTAGCCTTTTTTTAATTCAGGATACTTTGATTCTGGTACAAATTTCCAAAATTCAGAAATCGGCATCAACTTATATTTTAATTGTAGAGCTTGATCTTCTTGCATCTCTATTAATTCTAATTCTCCAGATGCTTTTTGGGTCATAATTACATTGAAAATGGAAAACTCACGTTGAATTATGTTAATTTCAAATTCAGAAAAAAATCAAGAGACGATTTAAAACATTTCAAGCCTTGAAATCTATTTTAGAATTTCATCTATATTCCTTCCAGCTTTTTTATATACTCGTTGAGTTTTTCTTGTTTAATACTGGAACAAATTTTTGTAATTCGAGGAAAATGACAAAATGTTTTATTTTTAATGTCCCTTTGAAAAAGTTGTAATTTGGTTTGAAAACCAAATATACATTGTGAAAGGTCAGATATTATTTTATCTTTCCCTTGCAATTGTAAATTCAGTGTTTGCAAATGTTCCATGACATCAGTCAAAAACATTAAGTCTTGTAACCACTTGTCATCATCTAATTCTGAATAGGTTATTTCCTTTTCTTTTAGAAATGCAGTTACTGGATCAAACAAATCTAAAAATCGATTTGATACATTGTAGCTAGATAACCATCTAACAACGGAAAAGAAATTATTGTCATTTGGAAGTCTTCGTCCTTTAATTCTTCAAAGAAATTTTTTAATTGTCGATTTTTTTTTTTTTTTTTTTTTTTTTTTCATTGGTGCGAATGTAATTTACAATGTGTAACACTGTTTTCATAACATCAGGTTATTTTAAATATTTTGAATGAAATGTTCTCGGTGAATTATGCAGTGAATCAGTATGAATTGTGGAATTTGAGAATCATCTCTTAAAAGCCCAATAAGATCGATTTTTTGTTACCCAGCATTGCCGCAGCTCCATCAGTTGCAATGCTTACAAGTCTATTAAGAGGCACATCAAAAGTTTTCATTATGGAAACTAATGCATTTTTAATATCGACACCACAGGTTGACTCTTGAAGTGCTACTAAATCGAATAATTCTTCTTTAACAACGAAGTCAGGTGAAACAAATTGTATGAAAACTGCCAATTGTGAAAGGTCTCTGATATCTGTCGATTTGTCAAGGGCTAAGCTGAATGCAATGCAGTTTTTCAAATCGTTTTAAAATTATATTCAAAAGATGTATTAATTGCAGTTATGCGTCTTTTTTTTTCTGTATCTCAAGATGGGAATTTGTGAAAGAACTTTGTGCAATACTGCATTATTTGGATCTAAAACTTTAAGTACATCTTCCAAGTTTTTTTTAATAAACTCTCCTTCTCCATACAGGCATTTTGCACGAGCAATATACCAGGCAATAACAAAACTGGCTTCAGCCACATTATTAGCTTGATTGCTAAAGGTCATCAAAATTGACACAGTGACACAACAGTCAATTTTGATAAATTTGATTTTAAAGAAGCAAGTTTATCTGATCTTAATTTGGAATTTGGTGCATTCTGATTAAAAAACTGAGAATGATTGGTTTCATAATGTTGACTTAAATTGCTAGCTTTATAATTTTTGATTGTTGAATGACAAATAGCACATGATGCTTTTCCATTATTGTCAATAGAAAAGAAATTTTCCTCCGACTCATTATTAAAACTTCTATTTTCTTGCTCGTATTTTCTTTTTTTATTTTCGTTCTCTGTCGTCATTATTTTTAAAAGAACTGGAAATAGATAAAGAAATTTAGAAAATAGTTTAATTTTGTGTTATTAAAACAATAACATTATGTGTTACATACTAAGAAACAAATTATAGTTAACTTACCAAAAAATCCAGATTACAAATTATATCCGTAGCAAGGGTGATACAAATTGTTTCCTCCTGAGCTCAATGTCAACTGTCTGTTGTAATGAATGTTTACAAATTCAAAATCGATCTGGAGTCAGTCGATTACGCAGATCGTTATTCGTCGAGAAGCAATTGGCCGGATAAGGTCTTGACTCCCATATGTTTCTCATAATTTACGAGGCAGTCGAAGAAGAAGAAAATCCGACGAACAGAACTGTTATGCCACTGTTTATGTTCGTTCGCTCAGTTTTTGACGAGTCATACCATTCTTAACTTGGAAATGAAATTTGTTACAACGTCGCACTTTCATATTTATTGTCAGTTATTTAAAAGACATTTGAAACACATATGGAATGATAATTTTTTTAAATATAATAACACAAAAATGAAAAGGGAACTCGAGTACATTTATCTAGAACCACAACTAATCCTTCAAAGAGCTGCATGTGGCTCGTGAGCCACAGTTTGGCCACCCATGATCTATACTGTCAATCATCTTGTTTTGAAAAAAGTATTCAGACACTTTGAACAAGAACAAGCAGTTCATATTTGTTAAAAACAAAAAAAATAACAGGGCATCCAGCACTTTGTCAGATATTCTCAGCGAAAATGGCACTTTTTATGTGGTTTTGGCATGGATTTAACTAATTGAATTAAGAATGCTCTATTTTGTTTCATTTTTCCGTAAGAATTGCTTTTTATAGAAATCTCATAGACATATCATGTTTACTTATCCTTTTCTCCAGCTCGCTGAATACGTGTTAGATAAATTGGAAATCTAAAGAATATGGAAGAGTTTTGATAACTTCAAAAAAACCACAATTGAATATTTAATTATTACTCCGTACATGTTCGATAGGATTTAAGTCCGCAGAATATGGATGAGTTTGATAAATTCAGGACAGTTGTATAATAAGGTACAAATGAACATTCAGAGTTGTATCTTTAGTATTGTTATCGTGATAGAACTTGAATGTATCTTGCATTCGAAGTTTTGTTGCAGATGCTTTCAGATTTTCCTTAACAATATTTTCCATATTATTTTCTGTAAAAAGCAAGTTTGCCATCCCATAGGCAGCAGAACATCCTCAAACCATTATGCTTTCACCTTCATGATTAACAATAGGTTTCAAATTCAGTTCTTGGTTTAACATTCGCTTCAATAAAATTTGTTCAGTGAATCCAAATTTAATAAAATTTGACTCGTGCTAATATAACGTTATTACAATATGATAAATGTTAGTTTACTATGGATTTTGCTAATACCAGATGTATTTTCATTGTTTTCTTGTTGATGAATTTCCTTCATGATTGCCTGTTGTATCCATGTACCCTAGCAACTCTTCTGATAGGTGCAGGGTTAACTTTTATTGTACACCATTCATCTAAATGTGCTACAAGATTCGCAGAGTAGATTTTTGGGGTTTGATAAATGTCCATTCTTACATGTTAACTTAAGTCCATAATTCAGTACATTTTAACTAGCTCTTGAACAGATTCCATCATTTTAATGCATCTAAGATAATTGAAGGCTTTGCATCAAGGATATTTTTGAATATTTTGAATGCTTTTATCATCCTTAGAATCATGAATAATTAAGTTTTAAGGAGAATTTTTTGTTAATTTGTAGCTTATGGCCATGTTCACTTAGCTGTTAATATGTTTTACTGAATAGTAATAATTTCCAAATGCCTTTAAATAAAATAAATATGAAAATAATTTCTAAATGGATAACTCTTGTTAAGTATTTTTATTTAAAATACACACACACACACACACACAACAACAAAAAAAAAAAAAAAAAAAAAAAAGTTTGACAAGAAATATAGTCTTCCAAAACACCCCAACAAAAAATTTTCGAGTGTTCAGTTACGCGAGTTACTGATTAACACATTTGGAATAAGTTATTTTATTGCAGAGAATATTTTGTAACAAGCAAGTCTGGAAATAGAGAAAAAATAATATATTAAGAAAAAAAATTGTGGAGTTTATGTTTCAGTATTTAGCACAAGATTTATGCAAATAAATTAAAATGATACAAGTGTCTGTTGACAAATGTGAGTCACTGTATATTGGATTATTAAATAAATAAAGAAAATAACAATTTGTTTTACTTTGAAACCTCTATGTTTTTTCTTGTTTCATCAGCTCTGTTTTTGAAGATGAGGACAATTCTGATGAAGAATTCAGTAAATGTGAGTAATTTTATGTAATCATATATTTATTTCTACTATAGCAGTATTATTGTAATTACAATACTGCATTACTAATTATAACATTAGATAACTACGTAATTATTAGATAACACTAAGAAAAGTTATTATTTATGAGTATAGCAAAACAGTGTAAAAACTGCATTAAAATTTGTATTTGCATTGTTTGTATAGTGTGAGCTGTTCAAAATACAAAGCATAAATTAGGTTACTTATTAATATCATCATTCCAGAAAGTGCCAAAATGTCTTTCCTAAAGTGACTAGGCATACTAATTTACTTAGCATGCATAATATTGGTTTTAAAGATTTAAATCTGGTTTGAAATATGTTCTGAATTTTAAAATTGCATTGAAAACAAATTGCTCTCTTTGTAAATAATGTTCATAATTCCAAAATCTATCGTCTTTAATTCCTGTAATCCTTCCAGCATTATGGTTGGGTCAAAGTCAACTTTAAATATGTTTTTAGAAATGTTGGCTATGTTAGCTCAACACTCATGAAATGATATTGATCAGCTAGGATTCATTTGATTTGTAATAATATTTATGTATTGAAAATAGAATATAAATAATCCATCTGTTATTTATTTTTAGTTGGTAAAAATTAGTTAAAAATTCTAGGGGTCCCCTTCCTTTCTTTCTTTTCCTTTTTTTTTTTTTTTTTAGTGCCAGTGCAGCAGACCAAACAGAGATGAGGAAAATCTTGTCTGCAGTCCCTCACAAGTCGCTGTTGTCAAGCTGTTACGATGTGTGAGACGACATGGTCTGACATCACAGATGCAATAATTTGTTCCTATTGATAGTGTCAAGAGATTTTAGCATTTTGCACTGTGTCATCAAAGCCTCTTGATTTCAGGAAGGCTGTTGAACCAAAGATCTTGTTTTTCCTCTGATATCGTTCCAGATAAAACGAATTGGAATATGTAATATACAATTGAAAAAATAAGGAACTATGACTAATTCAGTCTGCAGATTGTTTCCTACAGGAGGGAAGGCGATAAGCCTTTTATTTGGCTCTTGTTTCCTACAGGAGGAAAGGCGATAAGCCTTATATTTGGCTCAGCTGATGCTCCATTTTAGTTATGGTATATTAGTATTTACCTAGGTACCAATGAAGAAAAAAATGGTTTCATATTTACCAAATAAGGATTGATCCATTTCAGTTTCAACAATAATTTCTTTTTAAGAAATATTTTTAAAAAATAAAATAACTTTTTTTAAATGACCATGCAAATCTGTAAAATATGTGTAACTATTAAAAGTGTAAAATACAAATACTTGAAAAAAAGTTTAGTGCTATTTGATTATCTGCAACACAATTGAAAAGTCACAAATTTATTTCCGAATTTAGAGAGCATTTATGAACTCATTCGCTACTACTTTTTCATTTAAGCTATTGCACGAAAGGCAACAGTCATTTGCAAAATAGCAGTGCATTAAGAATCCCATACAAGAGCAGTTAGTCAATAAAATAAAAATAACAAGTTGCATGTAATAAAACACTTTCTTTTTCAAGAAATGCTTCTTCCCCCCCCCTTTTTTCGCTGTTCTTCCTATATACACAGTGGTCTGTTTTCTTTTAAAAAATGTCAGAGAATTGTGTAAACTCAATATCATATACCTGTCCTGTTGTGCATCGGCCAAAATAGACATGCTACATGCATACGTTGGTTACTTCTCTGTGCTGGTGCTTTTTGCTTAAAAGAATCTCAGAGAATTAATTGCACAAACTCAGCATCTGTACCAATTTGGTATTTTGCACTGCCCAAAGCCGATGTTTGCTACCTGTACATCTGGGTTGCCGCATAAATGCATTTTGACAACATACTGCTTTACTTTATAAATACTTTTTGAAACTTTTTGGTGAGGTTATATCAAGAGAAATAATAAGAAATTATATCAGAAAGTATCAAATTTTTTATTTACTTTTTGTCTAGTTTAATTAAATGTGTTAATTATTTGATAACTTTTAGGAAGTTAGTTTAATTTTCAAATTAATTTAATAATAAAAAAAGCATCCTTCCTTATTGATGCAAGCGTAGCAAGTGGTGGTGTTTTGATCATAATCTGCCATGTGTTTTGCATGCATGTTTTTGTCATCTATAAATTACACTGGTGTGCAAAAATTAAGGACGAGACGGTTTGTTCAGTATAACTTTGTACAAAAGCTTTCTGAATCAACACTTTTAATACCGTAAGATCCCCAATACGTAAGGACATGAGTAATGTAAGCAACACTTACTAAAAGAGAAATCAGAGGGATAAAAAAAGCTTTATTGAAAAAGTAGCATGGAGCGCAATGCGACTGAAGGCCGAAACATCCTTGTGATGGGTGTCCAGCAAGAAACATCCGGTCTTTAATAGGGGATATGATCTCCCCTGACTGCTAGGCAGGTTTCACAGCGTCTGCCCATGCTGAGAATGAGGGTGTCAATGAGTTGTTGAGGCATTGCTGCCCATTCGTCTTGCAGCGCCAATCGAAGCTCCGGAATCGTTACTAGTGGTAAGGTACGAGCTGCCAAATGTCTGCCTAGAAAATCCCATACATGCTCGATGGGATTGAGATCCGGAGATCATGCCGGCCAATCCATACGTTCAATATCCTCACTCTTTAAGAGCTGTTCGGCAGCTACTGTGCGATGATATGGTGCATTGTCGTCCATGAAAAGGAACTGTGGACCCATAGCGCCTCTAAAAAGACGCACATATGGAAGAGGAACCTCATTACAATAACGGGTCCCGTTGACTGAACTTGCGTCGAAGATGTGAAGGTCTGTACGACTATCAAGCATGATGCCTCCCCAAACAAGAACACCACCACCTCCATACCTGTCCCTTTCAGTGATGTTCAAGGGATGATTGCGGCTTCTCCGCTCTCTCCAGATGAGTATGCGATGAGAATCACTACTCAGACTGAATCTGCTCTCATCTGTAAAGAGTACTCATCCCCATTCATTGTCTCTCCAATTCCGGTGTTCCCGGTACCACAGAGAACACCTTCTCCAATGGGCAGGCGTTAGAGGTACACACCGTACAGGGTGTCGTGCAAACAGACCACCACCGTGCAGTCTTCTGGCCACGGTAAAACGCGATATCGGTCGTCCAGTCGCCTGTGTCGTGTGTCTAGCGATTTCCCCGCTGTCTGCCGCCTGTTTCTTCTGACCTGTAAGGCAGTATACCGGTCATCTGCGGGTGTGGTTCCTCGGGGACGACCACTACTAAACCCCTGGATAGCTGTTCCTGTAGTTTGAAATTGTCTCCAAAGTCGTGAAACGATGCTGTGAGCAATTCCGAACTCTGCAGCCACACTTGTCACACTGCGGCCTTCCTCCAACTTCCCAATGATTCGACCCCGGGTAAAAGCATCCAGATGTTGTCTAACAGATTGATTATTCACCATTTCTCGCTGAGGCAGCAACTCGGTGTGATTTTAACTGTTATACGGCGTGCAATCTCTTTGCCAGAAATACTGATCTTACACCGACAACATGCTTTATACTACTCAGACACTCCCCCATTACGTCTACCTGCATATCTGCACATGTGCTACCATGCATCACCTTACTTAATCTCCTGATTGGTCTTTCTGTCCGCTCTGCCTCTTCGTTCAGCTGATATGCTAATTTTTCGACTTCGTCCTTAATTTTTGCACACCAGTGTATAACTAGATATTGTTTGCAGTTAAATAAACTCTCAAAAATGCCTGCCGAGGTGCATAACAGAAAAGTACTTGCATTCTATGTCCACTTCTGTTTTACAGAGCTCGTATAATCCTAAAAGTACTTAAATCTTCTAAGATGTTTTGGAAACGATTTTTAGTCCTTAAAAGTCTTTAATTTCGACGAAGGGTTCTTAATTTTACTCATTTGACATTTCCCTGTGTTTTTTATGACAACTATTTTGAGTTTGAATTAACATTTTGGTGGAATATATTATGGCTATGCATTGACAAATTTAGTGGATTAATATTTGAATTATTTCCTACTTCTTAATATACTCATGGATACTTAAGTTTTTCGCTCAAGTCCCCGACTCGAAATGTAAACATTTCGAAATAATTTCTTTTGGGAGAATGAAGAGTTCATAAGAATAAAAAACAACCTTTTCCTTTTTGGGATACGAGTTCTTTCATATACAAAAAATGCTGAATTTGTCAACTTTTCAACATTTTAGCGATTTTGAGATTAATTTGGATGCAAAATAATTTATTTGAACATTTGCCACTTTTTGACGATTTTTTACAAACATATGATATCAATGATAAATATCGTAAAATAATGCTTATGTATTAAAATTATATTAATTTTTTTTTTTTTTTTTTTTTTTTGTCTTCTGCTGTATTTTAAAATGACATTACTTTTGATTTGGTTGACTTCAGAATATTTTGATTCTGAAAAATAAGTGAGATGCTATAAAGCACAGTGTCTTTCTAAAACACATCCTTAAAAAAAAAAAAAAAAAAAAAAAAAAAAAAAAACTTTTATTATTTAAAAATTAATTTCAAATGTCCTGTTTTATATTTTTTCATGATAACAGTTTTTTTTTTTTTTCATGTAATTGTTTAAATGTATATCAGGTTTTTCTTGAAAATTCATTTTACACTTTTCTAATTTTTTTTCTTTTTCAAAAGTTTTCTGGCTTTTTGCTTTTACAGTTTGGTAAGCATAATTTTTCTTTCCAATTTTAGACCTTGCACCTTAAAGATAAGAATGCAAGATTTATAGACCTACAATTTTCTGAAAAATATGACAAGATGAAAAGTGTCTTCATGGTATTAACATGTAATGGATGTACTTTATAGGGAATTTGTGTTGAATATCTTATCTTATGGAGAAGTTTCAGAACAAAACATCTGAAGAAAATATTTTTTGAATTTTCTCATTTTGATCCCAGATAGCTTTCTCTTAATATGTTTATCTTCCCTTTATTTTCTGATCTTTCGACTGGATACAAGCATTGAAGCAATCAAAGAAAGCAAAGGAACTGAAAACTGACATCTTATTGAAAGATTCATCATACATGTCTCGGAGCACCACACATACCTCAGTCCTGCCCTAAAAATTTTGCCTTCACTAAATTCTAAAAATTCTGCCACATTGGCTTTGGTGCCAGCCCTGACTTTATAGTATTTCATATTTATTCTAAATACTCATACTATTAAAGAAATAAAATTGGCAGCTTCTATGCATACCAGGTACAAGCAGTTCCTTAGAATAACAGAATATTTTTAATTAGATCTGAAAATTCTAAAAGTGAAGAGGAACTCATTGAAGAAAAAATGAATTTTATAAAGAGAGAGAAAATGATTCTTCAAAGGTGCATTGTTGAAACATTGCCAAATTAGGAAAAACAGAGACTAGGGGGAACATTGATTTTTTTATCGAAATAAATGAACTTAGAAAAAATGTTAAGTAGAAGAAAATGATGTAAATTAGCTAAAATATCTAGAAAACTTTCACATTTTGTTGTTTGATGTTGCTACAAAATCTGTTTCAAAGCTTTTAATGTATAATTATACTAATATCATATTAGAATGAATATCATAAATTATAACTGCTGTAAAATGTTCTTTGTGCCTTTATTAATAGATACATTTTAGCTATAAAATTATAATTTTAACCATATAAATCTAAAACAATGAGAGTATCTAACTTTGTTATTTAATTATTTGTAACTGCCTATTCAAAGTTCTCTCTACATATTAAGCTGAGTTATCACATTTCCTTAATCCTTATTGTTAATGAAAAATACAACACAAAAATGTTAAAATTAACATAAAACTTTATTCTTTACAGCTAATAAGACTTAAAGTAATGCAAAATAATCTATCATCTGGTGCTTCAGCTTTATTGGAACTGTATATTAAATAATGCATATTAACTGGATTAGATAAAGTGCAGCTAACTTTCAACACTTAACAACCGTACTAACTTCAAGCATTCACATCTATTCTGATGAGTCCCTATCTGCCTCTAAGCGAGCAGCCATGGTGGCAACAGCCAAGTTTCTGTTATGTATCATCCTAATTATTATTTTACTTACATAATTTGACTTATGCCACTTGACAAAATTTATATAACTCTGTAGAATGAGTATGTGACAAACTGAGGCATAAAATAAAGAATCAATATAAAGCTAATTCTTAGCAAAATTTGAATAAAAAGCCACTGATCTTCTTTAAAATATATGGAAATATTAGAAATTTAAAATACAAGTGTTTCATTTAAAATACAAGTTTATATTTTAATGTTAATTGCTTGAAAAATTTATAGAGTTAATTTTATTTTTGAATTTGTTTTATAATTAAGTTAAATCTTAGATTATGCTTAATAATAATGCACCCTGTTTAGAGATTTATTTTATTCTTACAAATTGCAAAAGTGAAGTTCATGTGTAGATAAGTCCTTTATTGTATTCAGTTCCTATTTGTTTAATAAGTCCTTAATATTTTTTATTGATGGTCCTTAAAAATCCATAAAAGTACTTAATTTCTGCAAGCAGAAGCATGTATGAACCCTGGTTTTAGGCTTAGAATGGTATTATAACAATGAAATCAAGTGCATGGATGATAATGCCTTAATTTATTGAATTCTTGCTTGCATAGAGGTCCTTTTTTCCATTGATGGCCCCTAAAAGTTCTTAATTTCTTCTAAAGAAATGCATGAATAATTTATATTCAGAGTGTAATTTTTTGTGTCATTCTATTATTTTCCAAATTTAAGAATAGTAATGCTTCCAGGCATAAATTGAAATACTTCGGTGCTTATGCCAGCTTATACTGCAAACTCTGTTTCAATGCAGAATGCATTATTAGACTTTTTTTTTTTTTTTTTTTGTGTGTGTGTGTGTGAAAATTATAAAGGAGTTCGAGTTTCGAGTGTTTTAATGCTTATATGAGCTACACCTGCAGCATATGTGCATTTAATCTCAGAATCGTGGTCTGGGTAAAGATATGTAAAGAAATTCATAAATGAGTTTTCATTTATTGTAGTTGTTGTTTAATTTATTATATTCATTTTCATATATTGAGTGCAATTCAGATTTTTATATGCAATATTTATGCATCTGGAATTATTTTTTAAAAGTGCATTTAATGTTTTTTCCCTAAAAATGTTTTGTTAGTGTCATCCTCAATTCAAATATAGGCAACACATTAGCAGAATTTTTATTTATTTCTTAAGTAAAAATATTCATAATTTATTCTTTTTCTTAGTTTTAGCTGCTACCAAAGAAAATCTATCAAGGTTGACACTTAACAGGTATGTTAAAAGGCTTTTCTCTTTGATATTTAAAATTTTTGCATTTTTTATTCGTAATAAATTTAGCAGCCCTATCTGCATGCAGTATTTTAATTGTCTTTTCTGAATGCACAGTGAAACTCAGTTATCTCCATCAGTCTTATAAATATTAGTTTTCGTTATCATTCAGCCACTTAGACAGTCTAATGAACAGAATAAATCCAAAAGAAGAAATTAAAGCATAAATATAAGTACGAATAATCATAATTTAAAATAAGCTGTATTGAGTAGTAAGCTTTTAATTGTTTTGTTACTGTACAGTGGTATCTTTGTTTACAAACATAATTCATTCTTAAAGGTAATTTATTATCCAAAATGCTTGTATATGAAAACTGTTTCCCTGCATGGGAGTTAATGTGAAATGGAATAATCTGTTCCAGAATTACCAGGGATTGCTTATTTTAACTTTTATAATGGTATTTTATGCACAATTTCAGATCATAAAATCAACTGATATCATTAAACTTAAAAACACCCTCTCCTGAAAATGATAATCACAACACTAAATTTAAAAGGGGAGAAAAAAAGTCTCTGAACACTGTTAGTTTGGTCTGAGGTTAGAATCCCTCTAACAAGCTGGCTGGTTGATCACTTTTGCGATTTTTCCCGTGTGAAACTTATATAGGAGCCAGTCTCGCTTAAAAATTCCTCTATGGTAGCATGCCTCTCCTTAGACAGATAATCCTTTATTTCTGTGCCATAATCAAATAACCAAACCAAACCATTTAAAAAAAAAATTCATTTATGTTAACTTATGACGATGAGTTGACAGAATAAGTGAAAAATGAGGAGAAGGGAAAAGGCAAGAGATCTTATTGTTTTGATGGGAATTTTCCTTCTGAAAACACAGGCAAGTGTCTTTGTGAAACTTTTCTACTTTTTAGTTTTGTTTCTTAGTATCATTGAATCTGCTTAAGATTTGTTGTGATCTGTGTCTAAAAATATATCCAATGGGATTTCTTTTTGTCTATATTTTAAAAAGTTTCTAAAGCAATGCATCCCATTATCTCTAAATATATATATAAAAATATATATAACAGAGGGAGCCAAATTTCATCTCAGCAGGAATCACTTCTTAGAGTTCAGGAAAAGTGAAGAGCAAAGGTACTTTCACCAAGAGCCACAATAACATTTTATATAATCTTAAAAGCAATAAAAAAATTTTTGCCTAGAAAAAAGATGTTTCAAATAACTTGATAATTAATGATATGCCATTTTATAGTTGATATGATTATATAGTGTAAATGTAATTGTACTGCTGGTACTCTGTATTTGAAAAACTATGTTTTTACAACATACCAATTTTAAATTTTTGTATGATGATTCTAGGCCTTGTTTTTATAGACAGAAAAACCTGACTTTTTTCCTGGTTTCTATTTCTCCCCCTAATTCTGATTATATTTTAAACTGATTTTGACAGCAGTTCTTTATTTCATTTGAGTGAATAATGCACTGATGTTGGGAGGAGAAGGGGGAGAAAGAAAAGGATTTTTATTTACTCTTAATTCTAAAAGATGTCAAAGAAGAGAACAGAGTGCTCTGTTGAGAAACTGCAAGTCTGGCAATTTGAAAATTACTTTAAATAAGCCATCAAATTTCAACAGCTTTGCGTAAAATATAACTATTTAGCTTTCACATGCAGCTAATGTAAGGGCCAACACAATGAGGTAAAAGTAGTCATTTCTTTCATTCATTAAAGGCAATTTAGTCATCATAAACATGCAAATTGCAGTTACAGATATTTCTAACTCCTGTCGTAAAGATTTAAGATAGTGTAATCATCAATATTATGTATTGCAAATGCAACTTACTTTTTCACTATTCATTTACTTTTGCGTGTTCTGAATGTAGTATTAAACAATAATAAAACTGTAGAAAAGTACGCAGTTTGAATTACTTTAAAATTTAATGTTCGCATACTTTAAAAATGAAATTTAAATGTTATTAAAAAGTTTGTTCTAGTATGATTTTTTTTCCTTGTTGATATGGTATTTTTAAAATGAAACTATTATTCCTTCCGATGTGAATCACATTTAAGGGGTTCAGAAAGGTGCAATATGGCCATGTCTGGTATATCCTGTAGCGTGCTTTATAAGAGGGATGTCATTCCTAAAATTTTATGCCTTATCTCCCTTTCGCAGAAATTTTGTGGATCAAAATTTAGAATCATCACATTTAGATCACAAAGTATAGCTGAAGCCAAAAAATTGTTAACTGGAGTTTTTATTACATACAACACGCATTGCATCAAGAACAATTTTCATGTGCATGTAAAGCCCCAATTTAAATAACTCTTATCATATTTTCGTTTTGGCATGCTCTTCAAGGGCACCTGCATTTTAGATTGAACCTTACTTTCTTTCCTAATCACAGGTATATCCAGAAAAGTACTTGTTGTTTTTTCTTTCTTACTGTGCAGTATTAACCAAAAATGCATATTTTCAAAATTCCTATATTTAACCAAGAATCCATTACTGTATTATCCAGTGATAAAATGGAGGAAATGATATTAATGAAAGTACAGCATGAAATGGGCTGTTTCTATTTAAAATAATTTTTTATAAAAATAATTAAGCAATTCATTTGAAAAAGGCACAGGAAAAATAAAGCTAGGTAGAAGTGTACACTAGCAAAATTATCAGAAGTATTATACATTTAAATTTTGGTTTGCTAATTTGTTAATAAAAATTTACATTTATTTATAAAAATAATATTTTAAAATTTAAATACAAGAATATGTATAAATATGTATCTGTATATATGCATGTTCATGCAGTTACATTCATTTAAATTTTAATGGCTACTTTACTTGTAGATTAATGTGTTCATGATAACTGATGAAAAGTCATTTTGGGGAACAACAACAACAATTTAGGCTTCCCTGCCCCATGAACTAAACCACACTACAGGTCTACTCCCTCTTTGGGCACGTCGTGGAGGTTCAACCTCCACTATTATTCTCCAGAGGAGCAGCACACCACCTGGAATTCACCAGGCAGCACCGGTCGTCTAAAGCTCCTACCAGTCGCATGGGCGAGCCCGTCGCAGTGGGCCGTTACCCAGCAAACCGGGGGGAACCAAGCCCTCCGGCTACGGTTCAACACTGCTCGTGACATGCCAGTCCCCGAGGCCGGCCAATAAGTGACCTTTCCCAGGGGCTTCAGAGCCACCAAGTTCATAAATTTTATCCCCTGTGGCCGAGACTGCCTAGGTATAGATCCTAGCCAGTAGCTTCGCAGAGTTCTCTACGTCGACGTAGTCATTTTGGGGAAGCATGCTGACAAGGCCAATGGTTGAAATACTTTGAATCCTAGTTAATAAAAAAATGTCAAATTTCAAGGCTTTTTACAGGTTTAGCAAAACACTTAGTGACTGTTTTTGGAACGCAGTTTGGGAAATGTTTGTCTAAACAATCATAAGCATACCAAAAATCATACTCTTAATTTACGAGATTATAAGAATTCTGTTGTCATTCCTTTCTTTCCACACGTATTTTATAGAAATTTAACTTTTGTGCCGTTTATTCTCCTATCAATAAAATTCTGAGTTTAATACTTAAGGACACCATTCTGGATATGAATTCCTGGGGTATTGAATGGGATATGAAGAACAGTTAAAGGTTGTAAAATAAAATGCTTAATTGAAATCTATCTCTATGTTTAAGAAATTTAAGCATGTTAACTTAGCTGAAATAGTAAAATCAAAAGCGTAATTACAATCAAAAATTGTAAAACAGAGTTAAATTTTAGAGTATGTTGAAAACTAGAAAGAAACCCAGTGTCAGAAAAGTATAACAATGACATCTAAAATTATCTAAAGTTCATGCGTATGGTAGGAAAACGTAATAAACAAGTTCAAAATTAGAGTACTCTAAAAATTACGAAGGTATAAAATGTACAAAACATGTTAAAAATAATATTTAAAATTAAATAAAGCTCATATACATGGTAAGAAAATGAAGGAGTTAAGCTGAAATTAAGAACCTGTTTGAAATTAGGAAGATTAAAACGTATGAATGTCGTTAAAAATTAAATGAAAGTCATGTGAAAATATAACAAATTAGTTAAAATTCTTAGTATGTTGGAAACTAAAAATGATAAAAAATAGAAAAAGGAGTTAAAATTTACATCTAGAAATTAAATAAGTCAGGTATATAGTAGGAAAATGTAATAAGCAAGTTCAAAATTAGAGTACTTTAAAAATTACGAAGATTTAAAATGTACGAAACAATTTAAAAATTATATCTAAAATGAAATAAAACTAATATATATGGTCAGAAAATATAGGAATTAAACGAAAATTAAAAGTATATTTGAAATTATTAAGGTTAAAATGCATGAGAGAAATTAAATGAAAGTCATGTACATAGTTTGAAAATATAGCAAATTAGTTAAAAATTCAGAGTATGTTGGAAACTAAAAACGTTAAAATATAGAAAAGAAGTTAAAATTTATACCTAAAATTAAATAAAAGTCAGATATATCATGTGAAAATATAGAAATTATGTTGAAATTAGGACTATATTGGAAATTTTGAAGGTTAAAATGCATGAAAGATCAAGTAAAAGTCACGTATATAGTGCTAAAATATAGGAATTATGTTAAAATTAGGAGTATACTAGAAATTATGAAGATTAAAATGTATGAGGGAAATCAAGTAAAAGTCATGTATATAGTGTGAAAATATAAATTGGTTAAAAATTAGAGTATATGATACAGTGTGAAGGTTAAAATGTACAAAATGAGCTAGAAATGTTACATCTAAAATTAAATACAAGTCATTTATATGATTATAAAAAGTATGAAATAAGTTAAAATACAGAATATGTTGAAGATCGCTAACTTTAAAAAGAAGGAAAAAAGTTAAAAATTACATTTAACATTAAGTAATATAACACATAAATTGCGTGTTTTAGTAATTACACTTGTAAAATATAACAAATAAGTTAAAAATATGGCAAACAAATATGAAAAAACTTTGGTTAAAATGAATTTAATAATAAAAATGAGTAATGTAATTAAGATTACGGAAAGTATATCTGATATTATGAAAAGAAGATTTAAGAAATAAGGTAAAATTCTGAGTGTATAGAATTACTCAATCATTAAATTCGAAAATAATTGTCGTTAAGAGTACCTAAGAAATAATCAACATATACGTAGTAAAACAGTTGGAATGCGAAGAAAAACACAATAGCTAAAATTTTATTAACGAAGGAAATCATCTCCGTAAAATCAGTAAAATATAATAGTGATGACATGTGGCAGTTTTGCAGATATTCAGTCATAGGATAAATACAAGTAAGAAAATAATTATTTTCCAAAGAGGTGAAGGAAACATTTTATTATATACTTATATCTGTTTAAAGAAAATAAAACACCTACTTGATATATGTTTTTAAGAATTCAATATAAATAAGAAAGTTTACACATTATCATATAACTACTAAATGTCTAAATTAAAACATAGTACTCACTATGATTTGTATTTTAATAAACTTATGATTTGGTTTCAAATGTCTGTATGAAACCCATTATATGTTGCAGTATTATAGACATTAACCTTTGGGTAAACGCAAGTAAGAAAATAGTTATTTTCCAAAGACTGTGAAGGAAACATTTTATTACATACAGTGGATGGAACAAAAATATGGAAACACCTTCTGAAATGCATGTTTGAAAAGAAAGATTGATTTTAATGAAATATGTAGGTGGCGCTGGCATTTTTGACTACTGACGCCACCTATACAACTTCGTAAATGTGCTAAACAGTTCAGTTGTTGTCGGAGTACTGTTATGTGAGGTTGTCATTGCATTATGTCAGAGTTAACAGACTTTGAACGTGGGCAAATTGTTGGAGCACGTATGGTAGGTGCTTCCGTAAGCAAGGTAGCCGAGGTGTTTAGTGTTTCAAGAGGTACTGTATCGAAGATTTATTCCGCATAATTGAAAAGCGGAAAAACATCATCTGCTAAATCACAGCACGGACGAAAGTGTGTCCTGAGTGATCGTGACAGATGATCATTAAGGGCAATTGTGACGAAAAATAAGAAGACCACTGCTGCAAAAGTTACTGCTGAAATGAATGTTGTGTTACCGAACCCTGTGAGTACCAAAACAATTAGAAGGGAGCTTCATAAACAGGGAATTACTGGCCGTGCTGCAATTGAGAAGCCACTCATCAGTGATGCTAATGCCCGTAACAGGAAAAGGGGGTGTTTAAGTCATAAAGCCTGGACTGTAGAGCAGTGGAAGTGAGTAATATGGTCTGACGAGTCTTCTTTCACATTGTTTCCCCTTTTCTGGCCGAGTTTACGTCTGGAGAATGCCATCTCAAGCCTATAATACAGATTGCTTGTTGCCAAGAGTGAAACATGGCGAGGGTTCTGTTATGGTTTGGGCAGCCATATCGTGGTTCTCTGCTAGCCCCATGATAACTGTGTCAGGGCACATGACTGCCAAGACTTACGTGAACATTTTGGCCGATCAAGTTCATCCTATGGTACAAACTTTGTTCCCCGATGGTGATGGTGTCTTCCAAGACGACAAAGCCCCTGTTCACACAGCTCACATTGTCCAGGACTGGTTTTCTGAGCACGAGGATGAGTTGTCTCATCTTCCCTGGCCACCACAGTCACCAGACCTGAATATTATCGAACCTTTGTGGTCTACATTGGAACGGAAAGTGCATTCTCGTTATCCACCGCCAACATCGTTATCTGAACTTGCCACCATTTTGCAGGTAGAATGGTATAATATTCCCTTGGCAAACATACAGGAACTGTATTTATCCATTCCGAGAAGACTGCAAGCTGTTTTGGATGCCAACGGGTTTCCTACACCATATTAAGCAAAGAAACATGTTTTTTTAAAGGTGTTTCCATATTTTTGTCCAACCCCTGTATGTTAGGAAAAGGAAACACTGTAAGTCCTCCATTACCCAGCATTATTGGTCTGAAAATCACACTTTCCATTTTTCTGCAGCCAAAATTATTCAAAAACATCTTCCATTGGTGAATTAGATTTTCTAAAAGCTTTTCACATTCAAAAAAAATCTTTCTGTTCTAGTTAATAACCCTAATTCCAATTTATGTTTACCTTCAGTCTTTAAGGAAATTATTGTTTCATCAATGGATGATGCCAGTAGCTTAACTCCTGTTTAGCCATTCTTATCTTATCACTATGTCGTATCTCGTTCATTTGTTCTTTGGCAGCTGAGGATGATGGTTTGGTAAAACCATTGAAACTAGTCCTGTGGAAATTTTCAAATATAACGCTGATTTTTATTGTTTGACTTTTAAGTTAATATTTGTTTGGTGTATTATTTTTGCCTAAATTTTAAGCAGTTAATTTAATTGAAATAATTCAGCCTTGTGAATTTGCTTGCAAGCTCAATTCTGTAGATGAATTTAACAGATTCAGAAACCAATCACTTTCACATTTTCTTTCTTCCCCCCCCCCCTTTAAAAAAAAAAAAAAAAAGAATCGTTTTAGCAGGCAATAAATGTTTGCATTACATTTAACATTCCCCATATTATATATGATATCAGTTTTTTTAAACTTCACTGGTAGCTATATTGAATTTATTGAAAAGAAAAATTTTTACTACTTTAAATTTTGGGTATTACTGTACATTGAATACGCACATTTGCTTAAATACATAGGCCATTTTTATTTAGATTGTAAGTACTTTTTGCCATTTGTAAAAAATATATTTTACGTTTCATATAGAGAGAAAATAAATAATATTAATAAAATTTAGCCAGCTAAATATACTAAATTAAAATATGTTTCATTTAACTGAAACAAATATAATATAAAAATATGCTTTATAACAAATTAACTTTAAAAACTTTAAAAGAATAAAGCTAGAATGTGTTTCTCAGAAAGTTAATGGTATGGTAGCGTAATGTAATGAAAAAAAAAAAAAAAAAAGAAAAGAAAAGAAAAGAAAAGGGGAAAAAAAAAAAAAGAAACAATAGACTTCAGTCATTTCTAAATGTCAATTGGGATTCATGAATTATTTTGCTCACTTTAAAATTTGAAATGTTTTGTTTTTGCATAGGATCGAGTTATTAGTATAGGCAAATTTCTTTTTAAAAAAAAATTTATATTTTGAATTTAATAATTTCTTTTTACTCTTCTTTTGCAGCAAACTGAATTCATTTTCAGCAAAAGCACAAATGAATGTCTTAGAGAAAACAGAGATCAACAAGTGCCTCTCTCTCTGCTAATGAAGGTGATCATATATAAATTACATATTTCATAATAATAATTTTTTTTTTTTTTTTTTTTTTTTAATATTCATTCTAAGTTATCTTGTTCTTTAGTTAAGTGATAACAGGAATATATCTGAATATCATCAAGTATTTTTTCCTCACTTGCTATTTGTTAACATGCTCATCATATATCAGACCAGAGCTGATAGATTGGTTTTTTTTTTAAGCAAAATTCCAGGAATTCTTCACAGTGACGCATTTTCAACTATCTAGCTCTTCAATCTCAAGAAATACCTGCCTTAGGAATTTAAAAAAATAAAAATTCAGAAATTACTTTTATTTCCATTTAATTCTTTTCTGATCGCTACAAATAAAGATCAAATGTTGCTTATTGATAAGTCTGAAAATTTTTTATTTATCTTCCGTATTATAAAAATGCGTTACTCAACAAGGTAATGAAGTGAATCAATTAAAATGTAATTTTATCTGAACTTCTCAATAAGGTTTTGCAACAAATGTTTTATATCATCAGTCCCCCACCCCATAAAAAATACATTCAAAATTGCAGATGGTGCTGGCCAAGATGATCATGATATATTTTAGTTTTATGACTGAAGGAAAAGTAAACATTTGTGAATATTCCCTCACGTCAAAAATATTTCTTTATTTAACCAAACTACTGGTTAAAAGTTTTAAGATATGTTTTAAACAGGAATACTATGTAAAATAGATTTTTTCTCTTTTTGTACCTCAAATTCATGCCATTAATAAATTATGAGTAGTTCAGGATATCTTTTATGAAACACTCTTCAGCCTCCTCCCCTCCTGACAAGCATGTATTTAGTGATTAAATATTAAATGTGTCATTTAAAGTTGAAAAAAATGTAGCTAATTTTTATATATATAAAAATAATTATAGTAGCCTAATTATACTTTAAAGTTATTCTTGTAGTATAGCTGCTAACTCCCCCAGTTTTACTAGGAGACTTCCAGTTTTCTTCATATCTCTGTGGGGGGGGGGGCCTCCTGATAGATCACTAAATCTCTCGGCTTTCTTAAGTACAGAAATTTATTAATGTTATTGAATTAATTAATTAATTAATGTTATTGAATTAGCTTTTTTGGGACTGGAGCCTCAGTTCCTCAAAGTGTTGTATTGGGATTGCATGCTAACCAGATGAGTTGTCTTGTGGAGATGGGCAATTTGTGCTGCTGTGTCTAACTTTGGAAAAAATTCATATAAATTAAATTAGTGATCCAAGTGTTCTGACTTTTGGCATATTATGTGAGAAACACTCAGCGGTTAACAGAATTAATTTTGAAACTTTATCATTATTTTATTCCTTAAAAATTATGTAAAATAATAAATTTTAGTTTAGTAAAATTTTGGATCTTCCACCCATAAATATATAGAGAAAAAATATCCAGACAATAACATATTTTATTTTATTAATAAAATTATTAAAAATCTCTTTCATTAAAAAACACTGTAGAAAGAACAAAAAGGAAGCATATTTCAAAAAATATCTTAGGCTTTTTGATTATTCCCATAAAAATAATCAGCCAAATAAACACTTTCATTTGTTTTGATGTTACATCTGAAAATTTCACTAATTTTGAAGAAGGTGGTTTTGTGTGAAACTGTTTGTTTCTTTTACAGTGTATTTTATAAGATCATCATTATAAGAAATATTTCGTTGATAATACTTCTAATATTAATATTTGGTGTTCCTATAAAATCACAATTTCAAAAGTGTCCTAGTCCAAAATGTGTCAACTGAGGTGCTGTCCTGAAATGTAGAAAACATGCAAGCTGCAAAAATGTCTGTATTAGAATCACTACAATTATCATTTCCATTTTTTTAGAAATATAATCACTTTTATTAGTGTCAAAAAATGACTTATTTGCCATATTTGTATATTCTTCTTCAGTTAAGTATGTTTTCATTTTGCCATTTGAAGTATAAAAAATATTTCACTAAGTGGTACATAAAGTATTCATCTCAACCCTAACAAGTCTCTTAAGAGGAATAAATAAAACCTCTAAAACCATATAACATTTACCCACATATTGCCAAAAACAAAGGTATTTAGAAACATTGCATGTGTTTATATCAACTGATGGAAATAACAGCCAGCTGTATTTATTTACTTAACTCATCTCCATGATTCTCACTTTTATAGCTTTTATTCTGAAACCAAATTTAAAAAAAAATACTGCAACAAAATGAAGGTCAATGTTCTCCAGTCATGGTTAATTCCATTATACTAGATATAAGGCTATATCTGATGGCAACAAAAAATTCCAATTAAATGCCTTATGTAAAAATCCATATGTGGTACCCTGTCCTTAAGTCAGTTTAAACAGTGATTCGTATATGATACATCCAGCTATGAGATAACATCTGTGGCTGATGCATATATGACACATACATTTCAGAATCTGTAAGTTGGGGACCATCACGCATCTTTAACTTAATAAAAGCTTTTTTTCCCTACTCAAAATTTTGTCTTTATAAAAGTTTAAAAAGAAATTAATCCAATAACTTAAAATTTGGAATATCTAATTAAATATTAATGTATTTTGCATCAAAACCATATTATAAATAGTTCGGTAACCTGAATCATATATTATAAAATGAACTTATGTTGATTTGGAGTTTTGAATTTGTGCAAATCTTCTAAAAACTTGCAGTTTTTGATACTTCAGTGCTGACAGCTATGCTGTAACATTTTTAATTTTAGATTTTATAGCCAGTAATTTTTATCTCATATTATACATACATTAGTAGTAAATTTGATAGTATGTGTTAGAAGAGTTACTTTACCTTAGAGTGTTTTTCATTTTCTAGAATCACCAAAATGCTTGCAGAATCTGACAAACAGGAAATGCAAATCTGCATCTGACAGTAGATCTAGAAGCATACTCGGTGAAGAAATCGAGTCACTGCCTTTTATGAAAAACCGAACTGTTTATGCTCAAAAGTTATTTGAGTATTTTAATGAAAAAGTTTTTGAAAATCAGGTATGTGGAAATTTAGAAATCTTAAGTTTTGTTTAGCCATAAGGGAAAAAACATTTTATTAAATTGTTTTATTGTTTTGATATTAGACATACCTACAATTATTACAATAGTCCTTATAGTTCGTTAGTTTAAAGCCTTTCTATTTACACAATATATTTTTAAACTTTATCCCATTTCCCTTTTTATTTTTTTGACCAACCAGCGGGCGAGTGTAAAGTCGCTGAACATTGGTAGTTCGGTCCGAGGTTCGCATCCTGCGAATGGGCTGACTGCATGTGTGTTTTCATGGTTTTCCCCATGTGTAATGTATATATGAGCCAGTTCCCCTTAGAAAGTCCTCCATGAAGACATCCCTCCCCTTAGGCAGATAGCCCTCGTGTAATCACATAAACAATACCAAATTTTTTTATTTTTCTTATGGCACATTGTCTCTCAGTTTTCTTGTCTTTTTGTATCATATTATGCTGCATTTATGTGTTAAATTAACAAGAGTACTGTGAAAATAATTTTCAGGATTTGTGTCTAAAATAAACAATCTTATTCAATCCTTTCATATTATATGAGATGATAATTAAAATATGCAATGATCTTAATACATTATACACATACAGTTTATATATAATATATATATATATTATTATATATCCGTTTCAAAAGTTATCTTGTAGTTAACATGTAACAGAAAATTCTTACTAATAGCCAATTATGGGGTAATTTATACCCACATAGGTTTTAATTTATCATTATTTTGCTAAAGCAGAATAAAAGGTGAAAGTGTAAATTCATCAATATTAATTAAACTTAGTCAAGATAGTCCACAACCTGTGATTCTCATAGTTAGTCCTCTCAACTAGATAGATCAACATATAGATCATCTGTTATGAATTATCTTGTAGTTCGCAATTGGCATGTTTATCAACCACATGACATTTGCCATTTGAGAGCACTGTTCTGAATCATACAGAACAGGCCAAAAAGCCTTAATTGTACAAACTGACAAATTACCTTCGTAGAGAGTGCAACTAGTCTTATTAAAGCTTTTTAATTTCATTTATCTTTGAAACTATAGCAATGCTTTGCATATCGGTGAAACAAACTGTAAAATTTGAAAACAATGTAATAATTTTTATCTATGATTTATTACTGTATTAGTTTAAGCGACATTTTTTATTCAGGCATTAAATTTGTAATGTTAGGATGAAGCTGAAATTGAAAACTTCTATTTTTAATAACTTATTTATTAATTTTCTCCAATTTTCCAATTTTAATAATCTTATTGCGTTTTTAAATTCAAAGTAATATAGTATGGTACTTTTCCATTTCGCCGATGCAAATCTTGCCAAGCAGACTTTATTGGCGACAACACAGTATACACATAAAAAATGTTAACAAATGTTAGTTCTAAGAATTTTTTATTTTGAAGGCATAAGCATTTTAATATCATTTAAAATTTTGTAAAAAGACATTAATTTAAGAATTTATTATGCTTTCATGGTTCAACAAGATGATTCTCCGGTTCATATTACATGACCCCAAGTGATCTCATCTCACGTAAACTACGCTACAAAAATCTAATTCTCTCAGTAATTATTTACATTAATTTCAAATTAAATCTTAATTTGGAATACAAGTTTAAATGCAAGAATTATTTCAATTCATACGAATGGCTTATTCAGAAATTATGTAAAACCACAGTGCTTTACTTCGCTAGTGTATTCTCATTAGAGTTGATGAATTTAACCCTTGATTTTGCCTTCCTATATTTTCCCCCTTAGGGTGAGCGGTGTGATTGCATTCTAATTGACTTAATTACCGCAAAGGGCCTTAGCATAAAATTATACTATCTGATAAAAATTCTATGTAATTGTATGCTAGTATTGAAAGAAACAGTCAATATGATAAGAAATGGCTGCGACTTGTTTTGAAAATGAGGCATAAAAGATTACCAGCAAGGATATTCCTTTTGGCATCAGTTGTACCATTATTGGCAACTTTATTGGTTGCACCGGCAAAACGGAAAAGTACCTATAGTACTATATGTTTTTGGTAAAATATGTAATATATTTAAGTGATAATTTTTATAAACACCTTTCCTGTGATCTGCAGCAAGGTTAGCAAAAGATCGTTATCATTGTTATTGTCTGTAAACTACCTGGTGTGTATACATTTTCATCCCTTCTTCTCATAGTTGTGGATATCATAGCTGCTAACTTACTAGTTTTTAACCAAGAGATTCCTAATTTTTTATCACATCTTCCAGTTGTTAAATTGTAGTCTTTACTAAGGAAAATAATTTTCAGCAATAAATGAAACTTGAAGTGTGCAGAATTCATACCCCTATCCCTAGTGGTTTTCAACATAATTTTTCTTATTAAGATTTTATTTGAACAAAATTGCCTTAATCTAATGTAGATATTTATATGAAAATTCAACTGAAGTTTAATCAAGTAGAATATTTTCTTTTTATTTTATTTTACATGAAGGTATGTACATTACTAAGTTTATCCGTATAATGCTGTGTATGTGCATTAAATTTTAGTTTTATTTTCATCACGTTTAAAAGTACTTTGATAAATTAAAACTGTCCCTCTCTATTCAGGGTTTTCTCAGGATAAAATTGTAGGAAAATTACAAAATGAAATTAGTCAAAGAATATAAGATTTTGAATATCTAATTAAATATTAATATATTTTGTATTAGAATCATATTATAATAGCTCAATAAATCTGAATTATTATAAAATGAACTTAGGTCAATTAGGATTTCTTTTCACTGCACAGAAGGAAGCTTCCCGTTTTTGGGCCCAAGAACCCCCTGATTCTTCATATTTGAAGACTGACTGCTATGGAATATTAACTTGTTTGGGATGTGTAATTTTAAAATAAAGCCTTCATTAAGTTATGTGTCACACATTTATAAAAGTGCTATATTGTTCCCTAAGTGTATCTTATAAATGAGTTCTCTTTTAAAGAAAATGTCCTATATTGTATGGGCATAACTATATATTCCAAATTTATTTTCTGTTAGGTCTTGATTCTGTTAGGTCATGATATTATTCTGTGTTCAAAAAGACTTACTAAACATAACTTGACATAAGTGTTATTGATATGATGAAATAATCTGTATTTATTATTCTAGGAACCACTTTTTGATATTATTTAACCCTTTCGACTCGACTTTTGCTTGATTAAAAAACTATGAAAAGTAGTTTAATTTAATGTTGACATACTAAAAGAAGTGTAATATGAGTTTAAAGTTTTTAACTTTCCCATTTCCTGGAAACCTCCTGGGCCAATATGTCCCAATTGTATTGTCAACTGAGACTGTTTGTTCCAATCGTCTAGGATATTTCCCTTTCTCAGATAACAAAATTAAAATTTTTGGTAATATATAATGTGAATATTAGAAAATGTAAACTCTGCCACATGCACCAATTCATATACAACTAAAATTTTCATATATGTTTCATAAACATAATATGTCAGCATGTAGTAATTTGATCACTGATGGGACATATTAACTCGCTGTTCAATACAACTGGGACAATATATCCCAATATATTTACCCAATAGACCATGAAATCTAATCTCTGGGACGCATGTGCCCATTAGGAAGAACGGATTAATCTAAACACATTTTGTGCACTTGATCTCAACTCACATATTGGCTTTGCCCTTTAGATGTACAAATGCTAGTCTCTGTTGCCATATAGTATTTTGTACCTGGTTACAGAAAAAATGTATGTTGGCTTCCAAACAATTAGTTACATTTTATAAATTTTAAGTTGAATGTTATTTGCATGTAGTGTTACATTTGAAACCAGAAAATTGGTCAAAATTTGTACTATAAATTAATTGTATAGTAATTATAAATTTACATGATGCAGACATTTTTATATTCTGTATTCTATCATGACTTGCTGTATGAACAGTGGCTGCATGATTAAAGCTCTGAAACATAATAATCATGACTTCTGTTTGTAGTAACTGAATGCACTGCCTACATGAGATTTCTTTCCATGTAATATAAATACAGTCAATATTCCTCAAAAAGTTTTTAATGATGACATTTCATCTCATGGACCAATAGCTTTAGTGATCTTAATCAAAATAATGCAATTTAATTGTGTATTGCTAATAAATAATGTATGATGAATTATAATGACATTTTATCATGAATCATTATGTATTGTTAATGTTAAAGATGTGTCTTTGATTTCCTTCAGTTAAGTACTAGAAGGTTTCTTACATAAATTCTTAACTGTATTTTTCTAATTTTAATTGTTTGCTCACAAATAATGAACTTTTCATGCCTTTACAAATATTTATTACAAATATTATTGTTACAAATATTTATTTTCATAAAAATAAATATTTGTAACACTAAAAATTAATATTTTTGTGTCTGATGGAGATGATCTGTCATTTTGGATGTGTTTCTCAATGCCTGATAGATTTTCATCATTTGTGATGGTTGATAGTCTACCTAACTGCGGCTGGTCTTGGATGTTGCAGTCATTACCTCAGAACCTCTAAAGAGATCAACACACATTATTTTGATTCATTACATTGTGCTGATAGGCTGACAGCAGCATACTGTTGATTGATGTTATTGAATTATCCCCGGATTTGTAGGAAAATTCAGTCACTCCACTATGCCAAGTAGAATCTCGTATTGATCATTTATGGGACTTTCTTACAACAGGAAATAATAGATAGGTATAGGTTAAGTGGTAATGAGAGAATTCTTTCTACTTACAAATTTCATTTATTTAGTTTTTACTTTTAACAAGCTGAATTAGATTGTGTGTTACTTTTTGACTGAGCTATGTATTTATTTTATTTTTTACTTTTATTATTCATTTTACTACTACTGAGGAAGTTTTGGTAATGGTTGCCAATCATTACTGCAGAATTCTAAAGCACACAGTCATCTATAATTGACAATAAATTGCTCTACTTGGTCGATTGATGGGATAATACATAAGTACCCTT